TGAGATAACCGAAGCTAAACCTTAACAATAACCTTAATTACGAATCCATGAATACCTAAGACAGAAGCCTGCAATCTAACACAGTAAGGTTAGGAATTGCCAACTACAACCTAATCCAAACAATATTTCATATGATACTTAATGTCAGGTGTAACTGGGCAGTGTTTTTCCATATTCTGAAACCGTTTTTGGTACTCTTTGACATAAGAAGACAGCGACAAGTTCTGAGGTTGGAAATTCCAGAATTGGGCAGTACTTGATAAGACTGTCGAGAAGACGTTAGATTGAGATACTGAGACAATTCCATTAAGTATTGATCGGGGGCTGTCACTTGGTGCTGTTCTGATTCAGTTGTGGTTTCCTTTAGCTTTGCAGCCCACCATCCAGACCCCATTAATATAGCCCTATTGTGAAGAGGTTTTTCTAGGAAATCTGCTGATGATTGAGTGAGGAAGATGAGACTTTTGATGGCGTTTTGCCATTGGAACCAGTTTGAATGAGTAAGTTTAGGTACTGGAGTTACCCTCTTCATATTGTCTAGGCGAGTTGAAAGGGTCCAGATTTCGGTTTTCTTGTTTGACTCTTTTAACGAGTCTTCGAGTTCTTCGGTTGAGGCAAATTCAATGCCAGATATCGAAATTCGAGTGTCTTCATTTGTTTTGTCAAACACCGTTTTGGCCCCTTGGGATAGCTTACTGGAAGTTAGTGATGACATGGTGGCTTTGTGCGAGAGTTGCTGCGTAAGTTTGCTTAGACAAATAGACGAACGCGAAGACAAGATGCACTGAGGAATATATGTCGCTGTAATTTAGTGCGGAAGCTTATTAGCGGCGGAAGACGCGACGGGCCATAGCCTGTTACAGCATTAGAGCATGAAGATTGTATTAAGGTTACTAATTGTTGGAAATTCAGACTCTATGTGTCTGAAGTTTCCCCATGATTGGAACAACTAAGATTCTTACACATGACTCACAGCCTGACTCACAACCTAGATGATTGATATCTCCTTTACTGAGCATGTTTGATGCTTGAGACTCGATTAGTGCATGGTAAGGTCTGATACCCGTGTAGGCTTTCATCCACCGACCCTGACGCCATACTCATGTTGTACACTGTCGTGCGATTCATTTTCATTGTTAGAGTATGGAACGAGTGATGGATGTTATCTAGTTTGGATTTTGGTCTATCAAGTATACATGTATATAAGCTGTCCAGGAATCACCAAGACAGATAATCTAATTAATTCAATTCATTCAACCCATCTTTTATTTCTCCACAGTATATCACATATTCCTCCAATTCATATCATTATTATTCTATTCCTAAAGTCACGCCCATATTCTTTGAGCCGCCTTACTCATCGAACCCATACCGATTTTCCAACACTAATTTGGAATGTGTACAAGTTATCATATGATTATTAGTAATCCTCCACTACACTATTCTAGCATCGCCAATATTCACACACATTTGTTTGGACACACTGCATTGCTTTCTTATGTGTATTTCTTATGGTTTCTTTGGTAACTAAAGTGTTGTGATGGGCATGTTATACAGCTAGGATACTTGGATGTACATAACGTGATTAGATGTTTACGTTGTTTGTGTAGTTCCTGTATCGCTTGGGATATCTGCAGGAGGAAGCTCATGTAGTCAGGAGCCGACTAGCGGCCGCACATGAGTATAAGTAGCGAGTGCTCGGCACACAATTAGTGTAGAACAATCAAGTACAGTGAACCTCAGATACACCTTCAACCACAACCTGAAACTCATCAATCTATATACTTGTACAAGGTCAGCATGCATAGTGATACTAACCTAAGCTCATAACCACAATATTAAGCCATGCACGTAGGTAGTAATGAGTCTGTATAGATCACATACCCGTATCACGCCTATGGGGTGTAGGGCGTTTGCCTGATGCAAATAGCAATCAGACAAATAAAAAAACAACACATAAATTTTGGGAGACAATCGAATTCATGAATAAATAATCATCGATGTGCTACATAAGGCTGCTGAAGGGAAGACAGAGGCCGAATATCTATCTGCAGTGTCTTCTACGATGCTGGGAGTCAAATATTTTCTAAAAGTCAAATTCATTGATAATTAGCAATAATAAAAAATTAAACACACAAGGTTGTGCATCAAGACTATCTCCCAAATTAATCTTTCTCTCTCAAGCAGATGGATTTGCACCTAGACATCATTAAGTTTACAAGTACGAGTTAGCACATCTTCATTTCAATGACCATACCTCTTATCAACTATTTTCTGACCTCAGATAGCTACTAAAAATGTGCCAACAAGAACATGAATACCCGTCGAAGGAGACAAGATTGGTGCACATATCTGGGAGGTGGATTTCTAGGATAGAATTGATAGAAATCAGAACACATTTACAAAATGATGCAGGGGTTGAACACAATTGCAACAGGCGTGAAATTTTGGCTTTTGGCCAGAAGCTTTATAAATTGGAGAGCATCGTGTGCACCAAGCCCCCGGTTGCGAGAGTAAATCTGTAACTATCAAAGAAAATCAATGATAGAATTCGCCGTAGTCCACCTCAAAGTGGTGATCTCTGGTACAGTTTGAGTAGCCCAGGCGCCAATCCACCCAGGAGAAAGACGCCTCAGTACACATTTTGCGCAGAGACTAGCAAATAGATGATGGGGACATTGCTGGATGAATAATAGTAAGTATTCACAAATGCGGGCTGGCTTGTGGTGAAGATAAAGCCGGCATAACTTCACAGTTGTTCTTGCAAATGTAATTCGAGGCATGAGCGCTCTTCTAAATTGAGTCATCTTTTAGGTACTTTGACTCTAAAATTGTGTCATAGCTAAGTAGCTGCATACAATATCAAAATCTGTACAAAAAGAACGATTGATAATATCATGTCATGGATGATGTGAAGTATAATATTATTTGGGTAGATATCTCACTAAATTCGGCAGGTAAAGAGATTGTTTAGTACATACACAGCGTCTATATACCAGCCTATATTTTTCACCCTCTCCTAATACAGCAGCCCGTCCCCTATTCTGCTGTCTCCAAACAATTCAACCGAGACAGCACAACAGTCCGGCGTCTAGAATCTGGGAGTAGCAGGAACCGAGCCACCACGGCAGTAAGCACTGTCGTCCATCTCTCTAAATAGTTTAGTAGGCACTACGGAACTGAAATTTAGCTATGTGCTCCAGAGGATCAAAACATTAACATGAATTTATTGAGAGAATAGGATGATACAGAGCGGGACGTTAATTGGGAATCTTCATTGAAGGGAGGATGTTAGGTGAAATTCATCTTCGCTGTCCTGGATGTGTGTCTCGAAATGGAGTGGAAATGAGAGGTGATTTAAGGGCCAAATCTAGGCAAAATCAAAGGCGGCTCCAACAACCTCGACAATTAGCTATCGCGGACCCCGAAACCTGGAGAGCAATCAAATTCTATTAAAACAGAAAAGTTGTATCGATAAAAAATGGGTCTGCAGGAATCGTCATTTTTACTCCACCGAAACCTGACTAGGGCCCAAAGCAGTCTAGCAATGCAAATACGAAGAGAGCATATGGGACTCAATTCTTCTCTATATAGAAGAAAAGTGTCTGGAGTCTACAATCCAAGTTGTCCATGTGGCTACCAAACGCAGAATCCCAAGCACATGATTATGTCCTGTCACCGATGGTCAAAAGGAAGAGGAGAGATTTGGAGACAAGCCAAAGATCGGTCCTACGAAGCAATGATAAAAAATCCTGAAGAAATCAAAAGGATTACCCAGTGGATCCTTAATCATGGTTTGATAGAGCAATTCTAGATTGCAAAAGCGCTCAAAATGCTGCTGAGGGAAAGGAACAAGTCAAGTAATGCTTGAGGCGGTTAGAGATGATCTGATTGGTTTACATGGATGGCAATATAGTGTAACTGCGTTTCCTGAAGAAAATGTGTGAAAACTGGCGGCAACAAGCAGAAAGGTGTGGGGAGTTATCACCATAAAGGCCCCCTCCTGTGTAAATATTATAGATTATAGACACCTGCATGGGCCCATAGGGCGCCAAATCAGGATAATGAAATCAAATTCAATCAACCGTAATGCAGATTAACCACAAACTCCCCAAAACTTGTCCATATGACCTCGACTGTGCACAAAATTCTCCAAGCATTTACATCGGAACCACTATCGGGTGAAAATTTGTCTTTTCCTCTTGTTGAGACTTAATATGTACATTATTATTACGGGGTAAATAATATATGGGTCACATATTTACCTGATTGTTAGTGGTCACCAGTTGGGCAGGAAGTCTGCGTGACATGTTGTGTCATGGAAGATCAAGGTCACGTGATGGTGGCCTTCGGATATTAAACAGGAGGCGGGAAGACAGATCACTCGCTCCGTTCAGGACACGAGTACAGGACACGAGTAGGAGATATGAGTATTGGCTCTACAGAGCTGGATCACTCGTGGACTATGAATGGTATAAATATGACTGGATATGTGTATTGTAATTTTGAGTCATTATTAGTATAACAATTGTTATTTTATTCCAACACCTCTCGGAACATTTCTTAAGTATATCACTCTTGCCTCAGGTTCATCTACTAAGTGCAGCAACTACGTTGACTAAAGAGAAATCTGCAGGGTCCACAAACACTATTCTAGAATGGGTAATTTGAAAATAATCCAAGACCACACATATATACGAATGGAAGATGTGTAAGTTGAAACTTGTGTGTAAGGAGCCTCGCAATAAGTCGCTTTGGTTGGCAACATGAAATTAGTTACCGCCAATATGTGTTATGATATGAGACAACGAGGTAGTCGAGGCTAGGGCATTGCGTGTGGCTCAAGGCCACAGCATACATCACTAGTGTACTGGTTAGGCGAGCATGTATATAGTTTCATAGATGTACCCACAATAAATGGACACAGGTTTAGTCTTATACTTTCTGTCCATATACCTACAGCATAGTATTGTATGAGGCTACTCACTGTCAACCACAAATTATAACATCATCCACTCCTGATCACTCCGCAATGTGAATTCCGCATAGCTCATAACCACAACAATATGACCATTATGGATAGTTGGATGAAGTTTGCCCTTATCTGCCTCGATGTTAAGTTGTACATCCGCATTTTGTGAAACTACTTGATCGATTACACGCTGCTCGTGTTCCGTCCATTCCAAGCTTCTCATAAAAAAGTGCATTTTGAAGGGCAAATCATCGTGGGTATTCCAGATTTCGTGGTTATTTCCTAGCGCGAAATAATAGAGCATAGCCCCATTCTCTTGCTCCTCGCCTATCTGTGTGAGAGGAAACCAGCCGAGGTTCCCTCTCCATTGAAATAAGTGAAGGTGTCCTTGATACCAAGCAAGTGCCACCGAATTTGTCGTCCAATACTTACCTGTAAATATAGTCTCATCATTGACTAATTGCATGAGCCTGAATCGCTTATCGGCTTCTATAGAGATTGTGTTCTTAATTTTTGTCGGGGCAAAGCTTTTATATTTTCCAATCACAGAAATATCATTCTTAAAGGCCATTTGAACTATAATCTTGGGAGGGCAAATAGAGCTATCCAAACTTGACCAAGATATTTTACAGCCACGTCCAAATCGATAACGTTTGTTGGTGTAATTCAAACAAAAGTTGCCCAAGTGCTCTGAGCATCAATCCATCTCTCTAAATTGAGGGAAAAGGCTGTGTTGTGGACTGAGTTTCAGATCCACCATATTGGTACTGATTTTGTCCAAAATAACTCGACTTTCCAATGTCTTTGAGCAATAGACTGAAACATATGTGCCCAAGTCTCCGACGTCAACATTGGACCGTCGTATATTGCTTCCAGTTGCGGGGAATTCACCATCGTCATTTTGGTAGAATTTGTAGATAGACTCCTGTGGATCATTGGCGACAAAAAGAAATTGATTAACTGGGGATAAATTAACTGATGTCTTCAGAAGAAACGCAACAACACATGCCATTCTGGCGAGGCAGGCCTAAATATCTTTTGAAGTTAAGTGTTTGGGTGCGTTAGTCTTAGGAGCTCTGATGGGGTTATCTGTCCGAAAGTTTTGTGATGGCGAGTCTGACCAGGGGAAAAGATATCAGAGGAATTAAGTAGGCTCTGAACATTGACTCATTCATCGAAGGGCTAGCGGCGACGTGTGGATAAATGCAACTGGATGTCACACTAAATTATCATGGTCATGCAATCATTGTTCAAATTTTGCATCAGGGGTGTTTTTTGAGTCAAGCCTAGTTGCAGTAGGATTGCACAGCTTTGTCCTCTGAGAAGTCTACATATACCATAGTGGAAGAAGGAAGATGAGGGCAGACAAGAAATGGAGTAGTCCGATCTTTCAGTCTGGGCGAAAAGTCTAAAGTGGAAGATTAAAATGGTCGCACTCTCAATACTGAGCAAGCAGTGTTTGTAAGATCCTCGCTCGATCATATTCAAGACGGATTATACTTATCTCTTCGAATTTATCGTATCATTTCAGCGTCTACGGCGTCTTGCGTTCATTTTTCTTCTTTTCTTTTTAGATTTAGAAGATTATGACTGCAACTTGAGCCTGACTGCCCCACGCGCAAATTAGTATTCCGTTGGAGGATTTAAATACTATTTAATTTCTTTTCAGCGAACATCACTTGGCGCAGTGAGGTCTGGAGGGATGCTACAACTCTTCTAATCTTAATATGATCATGTTATGGGTATGTAGCTATCTAGCTATGGTACATGATGAGGACTTTGTGTAAAATTTAGAGGACTCATTTAATTTCAGAGAAACTCACATTCCGGATTTCCATTGCAAATACCAATGTGAGTTATGTTTTCTTACATCGGATAGTCGACCCTTGACCATGAGTACCCACTACAAAAAATTTTACAATCTTATGTTCATTAAAGCAGAATATCATCATCCAAGAGCATGAGCACAGCGAGAAATTTGGTTCAGTCTTGCTGGATCTAAGCCATCCATCTAATGTGTCAGGTAGGTTAGTCGTTCAAGCTATCTGTTGAGAATTAAGTCTAATGCATTGCAATTCCAGGATCCTCATGACCCTTATTATGGGTCTGAGTTGTCATCATTAGCCAGGAATTAGGAGAACCGGAGAGCAAGATACCCTGTACAATTAGCTTGCTTATCACGTGGTTATTGGGTTGTTTTGTTGGCGTGCACGGACCCGCACTCAAGACGTAAATCTCGAGTGTTGGATCCGTTTGCATGGGTAATTATTTTATAGACCTCCAACGAGTTGATTTCATAGACAAGTCTACCTTCCATGTTTTATATTAAAACTCCTTAAAGTGATCATTACACAATATAAGGACTAAGGTTTTAACACTATCCATACTTTAGGTGGAAGACAAACTTTGATAATGTGCCATTGCACCATCTGAATATGCCAATTTCCAAAGTGTGACATTTCCTCTGAAAAATGAATCAATGTAGCGCACAATTCTTATTGTGAAAAACCACCTTTAGAAAAAGATATCAAACCTCTTCCAGGTTTATGACCATCCATAGTATTATCTTGCTTATTTCATTGATATCTCTCACGTTTCTTCTAAAAATCTAGTCCTCTAGTATGAGTGCGACGCCGAGCAGATATGCATTCTTAAATTTACTTCCCCCCTATCTATGAGAAAATATTGGGAATTAAAATGGTTGACTTTATCGAAATTTGTTTGTCTCTTTCATTTAGAAGCTAGAAGTCCTCTATAGTCGTGGACTCAGATAGGACTATAATAAAAATCTAATCTAGTCCTCTGGATTTGTACGTCAAAATTTGCGACCTCGATATAAGTATCGGCGTGGCCGTATGTTTGTGGGCCAACTAAGGTTGGAGGCCGCACTGAAGAGAAGTCTAGCCTTTGAAGCGATCACACATTAGGCCTTCCTTGTATAATTGATGAAGCTTAGCTAGTTTTTAATCTCCGTAGAAAGGAATATTTGATATAGCAAGGAGCCTTAAGTCACTGCTTCATTGGCTAACTTCAATATTTCGAAATTTGCCCATATTACCATTTGGAGAATATTTCAATCCCAGGTTCGTAGATGATACTACACACACAGATATTCAGTTATTACCATTGTTTAGAAACGTTAGTTAGGCTCTTAGATAAAGGCGCTTTTGAACTGATTAAGGTGTGGTAGTTTCAAGCTGAGGGAAGTCTTTTTTAAAGTAGGTTTGACAAAACTTGAAAGTGTATTTTCTCCATCCAGCACATTTACTGTGTACCCTCTACCACGAGAACCAGAAGATGAATATCATCAGCAGCAGACTATCTAGCCGAAGAAATTTTCGCATTGCAACTCCCTGCTGGTAAACACGCAGATTATTTGTGCGGCATTCATTGGCGATGGAAATCGCGGGAGCAAGTCCAAAGATATAGTCAGTCAACTATTCTAATAAATCCAAGAAATAAGAAATATAAATTATTTCTATCCTTTCTCACGCCTTGCTTAATTTTATGGCTACAGGAGACACGGCATCAATTACTATACCCCCTTCACCAGCTTCACACCAGTCTCCATTGTGTTTTTGATATTTTTCGTATCTTAACTACAGGTCTAAGTCGACTACGGGTACAGGGCCGTTGAAGCGAGTAAGGATCCCTGTGATATTCTCCACAGTCCCATCTCATTCCAACCGCGTAAATCGCTACCAAATTTGCAGTAAATTAAAAGCTGCTGTAATCATTCAGCTAGATAGATGTGTTCACTAGTATGAATTTCATGGACATATGGAGTTTTTCTGGTGGGTAAATTTCTTTTCCTTTTTAGGCAAGAAATTTATTGTAGTGCGCATTTGTTATAAAAATTTCATTCCATGCCACTATTTTCTTTTGTTTTTTAAATCAATAGGTCCTAAGCTAATTTTAGGTCTATATCCACTACGGATGAAGGACCGGTGGAGCCGACAAGTTTCCCGTAACTTTTCCTACAGCCTAAACTCAATGCAACCTCATGAATTGCTGCCAAAAGTGCAGCTGATTAAATAGAAACGAAAAATCCCAAAATCAAACCAACTCAGACAGACAGAAGATTCCTCCATTTTGGACTCAAGTAATACGTTCCTCACACATTCCATCATCTGTCACACCTTCAAAATGACTAATTTACCCAATCTCCGCTGAGAGCAAGAGATGGGTTAGCAAGCACCTCTGATCCAGCCGGTATCCTGCTTTTGGTAAGTAGATGCCTATGAGAGGCATCGTCGAGATCGCTGTGCCCTCAATCTTCTTCTTCAGATTCCAGCACTCCGAAACCTGATTCCTCAGCCATCAAGACATCCTTTGCTGAGGTGATGATCGCCTCTTCGGCCTTTTTGGCTGCAGCTCGAGCTCGAGCCAGCTCCGCGAACCTCTCTTGCTCGAAGTGACGAATCTACGCGAGCTGCTCTTTGGTCACTGGCTCCCTACACTTGAGACATCTAGTGAGGGCCTTGCACTCTATTTCAGAGTGCATGTTAGATCGGTAGTTCCAGTACGCTGGATCTCGGGAGCAACAACAAGTTGCGTGGAAAACCAAACAGCGTTTGCACTGTTCAGTTGGTCGACGAGGTTTGTGGACGGTAGCCATACCAGAATCTTTGAAGAGGCGGAAGCCCGGTGGAAAACGGCATGCCAGTTTCGATAAGGTGCTCCAGGCCGACACGTCCCACAAGGCCGGACCTGAATTAATGTTACGTCGGTCGTAACGGCGATCTGGGAGGAGACCGACTCACCATCGGCCGGTCTTGGTCCGCGCTCTGTAACTATACTTACAGGTACATTCAGTAACTGTAAGACGACAAGATCAGAAGATGCTTCGAGTTTAGCGCTAACACTCGCCAGCTTCGAAGAGACATCTAGCAACTCATGTTGCATTTTTCGTTCTTTGCTGACATAGACAAACCGGTCTTCACTCGATGAAACGAGGTTATATTACCGGGAAAGTAGTGGGATATACTCTCCAAATAGCTTCTCACTATATTTGTGGACAGTTTTCGCCACGTGTGGTCTTTTTCAAGGCGAAGGTATAGCCGCTTGTCGACCTTCCCATTCGCAGCTTCTTTACTTGGGGCTTCTTTACTTGGGGCTTTGGCCGCAGGTCGCGGCACAGCCTTTGCTATAGGAGCTACTTTTTGCGGCAGTCCGTTTTTCGCTACCATAGCCCAGGTGCTTTTGACAGGCAGCACTGGGACGGCGGGTGTTGGTGTGCTCCTAGCGTCGAGAGCCCTTGGGAGTGGGCTCGCCGGGCGAGGAGGGAGGACGGGTGGCGTGGAGGCCGGGTCCGAGGCCATATATTGCGCAATGGCGGCGCGTAGGTAGACTCTCATGGACTTTACGAATTGTCAGTTTGACCCGTTGGTCAAAGGGAGGAGGGTGGCTTCGACGCCAGAGAGAGAGTTGTTTATTGTACTACTTAAGTCTATGACTATCTAGCACATTGGGATTCTCTATGACCCAGGCCACACCTTGTACAGTGCTCATTGCCTCTCATGTTACATGTAAGATCATTGATATATTGCCCGTGACGAATGGCCATTCAGC